CAGACCAGCACAAACGCAATAGAAACCACCACCGCTTCATATGCAACCGGTGCCCTAGCCCATGCAGCTTTGTCCAGGACGGTGTGCATCAGCCGCCGCTCGCTTACCACGCTGCTTGCTCGGACTTTACCCTTGAGCCGGGGCACCCAGAGACGGCTCCGGGTTTGGGTTCGGGGTTTAGGGTTGGACAAGACATTTCGGATTTACTCCGACACGTTGATATGGAAGCCTGAATAACTAGTGGTACAATGTCTTAGGATTCCTTGCTATGCTTCGACGGTTTCGCTTGACCCGCCCCTTTAATCGCAGCCGGATGCCTCCGTGCTGTAGATGCTGTGTTTTGCAGATCCCAAGAATCCAACAACTACCCGGGCATTCGTTGCTCACGGTCGTTCACCGGTCCTCAGTGAAAGAAGGGACACTCCTGCCTTCCATCGCACACAACTTTGGAAAGACGTGTCATGTCGACCTGGTGTGGAGGCATTATCAAAGCCGAACTGGACCCTCACCGAATCTCCGCAGTGAGGAGAACTACTTACCATCCCCCTCCCTCGGCCTTTCTTGGCCTATATACCCTAAAGCCCTAAACCAGCTGAAACATCAAGGCTCGAGCATCCAGAGGGCCCTTTGCAGGTGGCTTGCCGCCGCTTGTGTTTTTGCTTGGTGTGAGGGGTTAGATTTAGGGGTGTTGCGGTAGGAGTTCAGAAGGCGCGAAGAAAAGATGTCGGCGGATCCTGCTTTACTTGGATCAGCTCTGACAGATCACGGTCCACGGCCACGACGTCCTTCTCTTCGAGATGTCGCAAGGGCAGGGGAGCCGAGTTTGGCCAGAGGCAAATTGACTCTATTTCCTATGGTTGTCCCATTTGTTTTAAGATTCTCGCTCTGTGTCCTCTGGGCAGTACATCATCTTCTGAGGCGTGAAATGCGTACAAAGCCATGTACCCAACCAAGTCAGAATCCGACGCAGACCCCGTGTCTCCTGGACCCTACATCCCACGATGCACAGATCTATGAGCCCCAGAGCCCAGACCCTGAGAGATCTCAGGGCTATAAGATAAGATAAGATAATATATATATATATGTATATGTATATGTATATGTTATCTGAGGCGTTTCAGCCGGGAGGCTCCCTTCTCAGCCTGGGAGCCAAGCGCGGTTTTCTGCGGCGTCGACTGCGAAGAGTTAAAAAAACTTGAGTTTCTCCAGTCGAAAAGCACACGGATGTTCGGGCTCTTAGTACGCTTCTTCTATCTTCTTCTAGCGAGAGCTGTAAATTAAAGTCCTCTCCCTTTCCATCAGATGGGTTGAGAGAGTTCAAGATGTTCGGGCTTTAGGTCGTTCAGGGTTTTGTGAGGTTTACTTGAGCAGCTCAAGAAAAAGAAGTCTTTGCGCTGCAAGGCCTGCGATGTTTTGTCCTTATAACCTCACCAGTTATTCACGCTCTACGCTGTGACAGACTTCGGCTTTCAATGGCCTCATGAAGCCCTAAACCCTAAACCCTCAAATCAAGTCTCCGCCAAGGAAGTGCCCGAGGCCTGGAGGGGCTTCGCGCTGGCGCACCTCATCCATGGCGCGGTCCGGACACCCAAACCAGGGGAGGTTCAGGAAGCTTTATGCCAACAATCGTATTGGTTGTGAGAGTCGCTGCAAAAGCGGAGCTGTGGAGAGCTCGAGCTGCGATAGATGTGGGGTTTTGCACAGAGAGTTGGCCCAAGTGGACTGATATTGGTAGGAGGCTGCATTCAGCTACGCGAGCCTTCAATTTTGTACCTGCCACATGGCATGAGTTTGCCAAGTCGAAACAAAGCAGCAAGCAATCCGAGGATGCATCGTGCAACGCGATGAGCTGCGTTGACTTGGGCACGAAAGGCGAGTTGTGGAGTTGATGTGAACGCACCTGAGCCAGCCAGGGATGGGGATGGTGAGGTCATAGTAAGGGTAATAATGCTGCGGCTGAAAGCCACGATGACGATGATTACGATGAGAAGGATGATGATTCTGATGACGACGATGATGACAACAATCGCGAGGAGCCGGAAAGTGCAGGAACGAAGGCTGCCACTGAGGCTCAAGCTGATGTGGATATTCATATCATTGGCGATCACCGTCGAGAACTCTAACGATGCTGCTGGTGATGACAGCCAGGCTGATGATGCGAACGATGCCATGCATCATCATCATCATCATCGTCATCATAATAATTGTCATCATGGTCGTCCTGATTCTCACCAGTCACCAGCATGTGGCAAGCAGGCTTGTGCCAGCAGGGATCTAAATCGCGCGGCCTTTCGCTTGAAAGCCTTGCTGAGTCATTCGAAGAGCCAGCCGCTCCAACAGATCCTGAGCACCCACAGCTTGAACTTGGCGTTGCACCCCCGGAGGAGCCCTCGAGTTTTGTGAGAGTGCCCTCCTGGATGGCTCTCGTGTGACCTGCACGGGCCCCAGGGCTTACTGATGGAGAAGTAGAAGTGCCAGGGGATGCCAGGAGAATCATGTTGCTACATAACCATATGTAAGAGGTGTAGGAGCAGTATCTGCTATCTTGAGACTCCGTCCATGACAGCTATATATAGTTATATTTATTTTGTACATATACATAAATAAATAAATATATATATATATATATATGTATACATCGTTGCAGGGTGGAGCTGGTATCAATTGAAGCATGTGTACCGCAGCGGAGCCGGTCAACCGCTCTTCACTGGTCTTCACGAGACACAGCCGGCACTACCATTTTGCCCACACTCACTTCGTTGATGTCCGAGAGTGTTATAGGATGTACAAGATATGAATGATGCATGCAAGCTCAAGCACTCGCAGATCAGAAAGCGGCGAGAAGTTCATGGACAGCGATACAGATCTTATCGACTTATGCGGAAATCGGAAGCACGACAACATGTCAATAATTGTTTTCGCTCGTCGAGCTGATTTAGGCGTTGCTGGTTTTGGGTTGACAAGACATGATGAAGAGTTTCAAACTGCTTTGTGAATCTTGTGGCAAGGCCGCCAGTCAACGCAGAAGCATCGTCTTGAAGACCAGCGACAAACTTCATACTGGCACGTGGAATTCTCAAGGATCTTTGTACCTTCACCTCGAAGCAGCACCCGTCTCCTTTCCAAACATAGCGAAATCCCAGCGTGTCCTCGAATAGCGTGCCGCACACCTGGAGAAGCCACCATGTAGGAATATGTAACAGACAGACCATCCTTTTGTGGAGCTGGCCGAATTCACAGTAAAAATGCCATACAACTAGATACACACATATATATATATATATACATACGCATAACGATTGCAATAATAGGAAGAAGAAGAATCATACTGTAGACTCTAAATATCATAATGAGTGTATACATACATGAATGCAAACATACATATATTAGCTCAAACATCATACAACCTGCCACAAGCCGGCAGGCGTGGGCGAGGTGGTGCGCGACCGGAATGGCAGCCTCAGCCGGGCGCTGAGAGCCGGATGCAGACAACAGCAAAGTTTAAAGCCTTGTATGTAGTATGTAGTGTGTGTGTGTATATATATGTATATATATATATAGAGAGAGAGAGAGAGAGAGAGAGAGAGAGAGAGAGTGAGTACAATAGAATCGAGTAGCGTGCTCGGATGACTGCGAAGCGCCTGCCTGAGACATTCTCTCGCGGACACTCAGTGAAGTTTGCGACCACAATGAACAAGGTCTGTGCCCGTGGCGTCCTCCGTGACTTGTCCGCATTGAAGAGCAAGACTTGCCAAGCGCGAGGGTCCCTGGGAAGCCCCAACCTTTTTTCCGGACTCTTCCATCACAGCTGCGTCTTGTCTTGTAAATTTTCGTTGAAGTTCTTCACCGGGGAAGCATATTTCCAAGCAAGTCCTGTCAGCAAAGCTGTTTCGGGACGGGTTGTCAGCAAACTGCTCCCTCGTCAGGTTCAGCGTCTGGGAACCGAGCCCTTCCGTGAAGGTTGTAAGCATCCCTAGAGCCCCAAAGCAACTCATGCAAGCTGCAACAAGAGCATGCAAGTTCTCCGACTGCAGGGTGGTGGGATTGGACTCGCCTCAGCAGCCTCGCAGCCGTGTCAGTTCCCCCAGCCAGCGGGGGAGATCGGGGGAGGGAGAGATAGATGCAATTACGGTAGTGCAGTACTTCCCCGGCGGTCCCAAGTTTCGCTTGCTGAGAATTGCGAACATTAACCTTGGCTTCCTTGATAGTTGCAGTCGTTAAGAACAAATGTCAGGGAAGGCAACCAACTTCCCTGGCCTTCTCTTGCACCCAGCCAGCCCAAGACGACACGGACGCCCGGTTTCTCAGCAAGGGGAGAGAGATCAGGAACGCAGTGTTAAAGAGCTTTAGGCCAGCCTTGCTCATTGCACAGGCTAAGGCCAACGAATTATGGAAAGCATCTAGTGAATCTAGTGATAGCTAGTGTATAGGGCGTGGAGGCGCACCGGTGGCTAGCTTCCTGCTGAGCCTTACGTATGGCCACCCCTTAGCACTGCCGAACTGAAGCCGTCATCCCAGACGAAGCTCTTTATTGCAAAATCCCAGATCCTGGAGCATTCATATCCCGAAGCCTCTAAGATTTTCACGATGCCCCTTCATGGGTTTATGACATTTCCCAGGTCCAGAGCTTCACCGCTGCTTTCTTTGGGAAGCTGAGGCCAAGGGGGCTTTGAGGGACCAAAGGGCTTCGTACTCTGAGAGCTGTATGCGCGTTTCATGGCCTTCGACTTTAGGACTTTAAAGTTTTATTTAGCCGGTTTAGGGCTTAAGGGGGGGTAGGGGTTGGCGATTTAGGGCGCGGCACGTGAGCATGGCTGGGACTGTGAGGCACCGGCCAAGGACGCTGCGTCTCTCTCTTTCTCCCTCCATCGCAATTCAAAACTCCACTGGCTTGCGGCTGATCAGATTCCTTCCTTTCATGAGCCTGCTTTTCTGCCCGAGCGAGACAGTAGGCGCAGCCGAAGGCAGGCATCACCTCACGGATAGTTGAGATTGTCGCGATGGACGGGGGAAGTACCTCCGACGCCATGCGCAAAGCCTTTGACGACCTGAAGGAGGTCTGCGTGTCGATGCTGCAGCATCAGACTGAGCAAAGAGCTCAGCTCCAGACCCTGCAGCGGGAGTCCGAATTGCAAGAGGAGAAGATTTCCAAGCTCCAAAAGGAGCTGGCAGAACTGAAACAGCTTGTGGCCCGCAAGAACACCGCAGCTACACAGGCACAGCCCGACGTGGAGGCCAAAGTGTACAGCAACGGCGGGATTATCTTTAGCCGCGAGCATTTGATGGCTTGCTTGGATGCACCTTCCGGAAGCTTTTGCAGCTTTGACATCAGGATGCTCCCGTGCTTGGATGAGCCTGCCCGCGATCTAGGCCGGCCCGAGCCGAGCAAGCAGAAGCAGAGCTCAAAGAGCTCGAAGACCGACAACTCAGCCGGGTCGCAGCAGGCCTGGCGCAAGTGGCACGGACAGTGGTGGTACTGGGCAGGGGGCTGGAACAAGTGGGTCCCCAAGTAGCGCGGTCAGCGTTCCAAGCGATCTGTGTTGAAACAAGCAACGCGTGTCACCGCCGTTGGAACTGAATGTCTTGTTACGCATTGCCCGCGTTCTGACAAAAAATGGCGTGCAGGTCTCCGCGGACAGTAGAGAGCAAACTCCATGCTAGGTGGGACCGTAGTCATCCATTTTCCGTCATCGACGATAGCGATAGGCTCTTTTGGGTTTGATTTTTCCTTTGAGCCTTTTGTGCCAACCATGAACCCGAACTGTTAAAGAGACTGAAGCCTTCCAAGTTCAAGCCTTCAGAAGTAGGCTGGCATCTCCCGGAAATGGTTCCCTACCCTCAGCGTTGCATTATGCACGCTGTTGACATGCTTTCTTTATTGCTCTAAGCCCTCAGCAGCTCTCTGTCTGAGCTTGCAAGTGCAGTATGAGCAGCAGCGTATGGTAGAGTCGGCTTTAGGATGATTTTTCTGCGGGGCTTTACTTCAGCAACGACGGCAGCATCCACATATCACAACGCGAGGAATATATTGACCATTCATGGAAGATAGTGCTGTCTACGCCTATCAGCTTTGCCGTAGCATCCTGTTGGTGGGGCAGTAGTGCGGTCATGGTAGTGGTCTTGGTAGTGGCACGGGGAGCTTCTCTCCCGAAGGTTTTTTTGGCCGATGCTTGCATTTGACTCTGGATTGTTGTTGATTTCGTGTTAAAGACAGCAAGCCGCGGACCAGGTTCTCGACGACAACCTGGGTGCGCCCTTCTGGGAGGGGGAGGGTCCCTGAAGGGTGGTCTACTACAGTCCGGTGCTGTAAGTGCTGCTGCCCGTTCAACACTGTAATTAGCACGACCCGGAGAGACACACCCGTCTCCCAGGCCCGGGGCTTTGGGGATATCCAAGAGAAGAGCAGCTCACTTCTTAACATCACAGGGTTTGATTTCTTCTTGATGGCACAGCTCACGAATCGTTGTATTTGGCGCGGCCATTGGTCCAACAAGTTGAGAAATGAGATTCTGCTGGCTCGGTTCAGGAGTCCTCGGGCCGGAGCACATCTGCACTGGCAGGACAAGTCCTCATCAGCCGCACCCCGAGATGGACGGGGTTTAGGCAGCATGGAAGCTTGAACTTCAACGGAGAGTCAACGAGGGCACTTGCCTCTTGGGATTGGCTTGGTATAGCTTCCTCTATGTGTTGAGGCTGGGCGGGTAGGGTTGATGTTAGGACCTGTGGTGAGCGTTTGTCAGCTATGCTCCTTGTGTTCTGTTCTAGGGAGACTAGCAGACAGCCTGCGTCATCTACGGCCAGAAATGATCTGTTTGCGATTAGTCCGAAAGGCGCCTTCGGAGTCAACAGCTTGCAAACCCCGGGGGTCCATTGCTTCAAGGCCGTGCTGGTAGAAGATGGTACAAGTGGGCACGCCGAAGTTTCTGCTTCGCTGCATCCCAGGTGATGGTGCGGACTTCATTGACAACAACTTCTCACTCTGGCGAAGACTAACGCGAGGTTCGCAGCAACAGTTTGTGCAAGGTCTTGTTCCACTCGCATGCCAGCCCTCGGCCATCACAGAGCAAACCATTTTGCCCGCTTCACAATCTTCTGCTGCTTGCAGGCCCGAACTGGCGGTCTGCTTCGTTGCTGGTCTCTTGACCGTATTTTATAGCATCGGACAAATGGGATGAGGCACCGAGCTCAGAAGTTCAAGGAGGTGTCTTAGGACATAGGCTCTCGAGTAAAAGCTTTCTGGTCACGCTCGCCTCCTGTCGGAGTCTGGTGGTGTGGCCTCACCGCACGCATTCCGCCGTTGCGGGATGATCGACGGCACCAGCGTGGCAGCAGTGTGTTCCTTTGTTGTAGCGCTTGTGCATGTACCGCTGTCCATCCTGTGCTTTCTGATGATTTTCTGAAGTCTCAGTGGGAGTCAGTGCAGCGGCTTGGCAGGTTTCCTCAAATTCGTGAAGGGCTTCATCATGAGCTGCACGGTTGTTCAGATAGATTTAGGGACCACTGCTTTCACCATTTCAGCAGGAGGTGCCAGACCGAAAGAGCGCAGAGAGCCTATGTGCCTGTTTCAGTCTGAGGCTGATCTCGGCATCGAGTCGTACAAACTACAAACAGATCCCGTAATTTTCAGACAACATCTCCTTTGCTGGAGCATAATGTACTTCTGCTGAGCCCTGATGGGCCAATTAGCACACGAAGGTCTCTTGCAATAGCTTAGCTGAAGCAAATGCTCAGCGAAGCAGCTGTCCAGTTCCGGCTACAGGGTAGCCCCCAATCGGGACAGAGCAAGATCTTTGGGGAAAAGTGCTGTTGATGCGATTGGGGATGCACAGACAATGCGCAGGCCCCAGCCAACTTTGCCACTCCAGGTTCGCATCGACGCGCCCAACGGTTGGGACTTCCGGCCCATCTGCAACCTGTACTTGGACCGGGCATTCTTGTGTGCTGCGTTCGCTCTTCCTACAGCTCCGGTTGAATCGCCTTGCGCGTAGTGGCTTTTTGGTATGCTGTTATTGTTAAAGTCGGTCAGTTTTGACAGCTGTGTTCTGATTTGTCTCCTGCTGTTGCAGGAAATTGTAGCTTACCAGGTTCGGTGAGGACATTGAGGACATGCTTCGGTTTTTCAGAGCGACGTCGCATGAAGGTCGAAACTAGGCTGGAGACGGCAAGGCGGTGTCGCTTCCCCGCAAGCCTTGCTTCTTCATGGACATATCCTGCTGGTCGTCCTTTCGCCTTTGCTGTTGCCGTCGTCCTCGATGTTCTGTGGCCCGTAGTTAGCAATCACCAGCCTGTTGTTGCATTTGTCATTGTTGCGAGCATCATAAGACATCGAATAGAGTTATTTCCTGTGAGTGTTGCTATGGGGGAGGTGCCGGCTGATGCATCTAAGGCGGACTCGGTAACCACCAAGCGGGAGGCCCGCTGCTTAAACCCAACCCTGTATTACGCACAGGATGTGACTGGTGGATGCGAGAATCGCTGCTCCTTCCAGCTGCCATATTCAGAGGCCCAGCCAGCCATGTCCAGCTGTCTACATATTTACACGCCCACGCACACTTGTCTGTGCATATGCGTGAGTCAATTTGAGTCTATTTGTCTGTCTGTTTGCGTTTTAGCAAGATAGTTGAGATTTGTAGTCAGGACAGCGTGAAGATTAAGTTAAGGACTACACAATGTTAGCGTAGTTCGGGCTCGTGCGTTGTGTATGAGCAACGTGGTTGTGGGAGTCGAAGTGTTTGGTGTTTTGGAGACTACCGCTGGTGCTTATAAGGAACTTACGGGCGTTTGGCTTACAAACAGCCGTATATGCAGTAAGAATCTAGGGGGCTGGAAAACACGAGGACTTGTAACTCAGACTTGTAGGCGGCTTAACAAGCTGTGGTCCTTATTATTGTGTCAGGACCATAACAGCACAGACAACATTCAATACTTCATGGTAGCATCTTGCTATGATGTGGCTTTGTCACGGGGGATCGCAGGCAATGCTCAACAGTCGTACTCGCTGTTGTCGAGTTCTTGTGCTGTGAGCGGAGAGATTACGCACGCAGAGTGTAAGTGTAATCGTGGTATCTTGCCCTGAGGTTATCCTTTTAACAAAGGCAAGTAGGATGTAAACAGTCGTAAGCAGTACGCTTGCGGTAGTTCTAAGTTCTGTGTGGCGTACTATGGCTGTAAACATTGTTTGATATGGATCATTCGCGCAGAAGAAGGTGTCTGGACAAAAGCAAACAAGGCTGGTGGCACAACTTTTTTGGTAGCATTGTCGTGTTCATGAAACATCTTGGGGCGACAGCAGTTGGGTCGATTAAGTAAGCCGCAGAGCGCAGTACCCTACAGTGTTTATTTCGGCTTCGAGCGGCCGCTTGATATTTGTATTCAACAGTGCGCGGTCCAATTGGGCGCGGGGGCATGGGTAGGCTACAAAGCCGTGGGTGGCGTAGTTCCTTATGTGGAAGAAGAATTACTGCATACTTATCTGCGTATTCTTTACACTTACAAACCAATCTTCGCAGATGCCTTGTCCGGCCCGCTACTACCTTCCATGTCCATTACGTTTCGGTCACTGGCAAGCGGAAAGTGTGCATGATGGAGTTGCATGTTTTATTCCTTGATGTGCTCATCGCCAGGAATCTGCAAAAGCCTTGTTGGTGTTTGTGCTTATACTTATCAACACCATATGCATGTTTGTCTGCTATGGTAACTTATGTTATGTTATGTTAGGTTGTGACATTCTACTTTCATAGGTATTGTTATGTTACACTACACTGTAGTATTATATTCTATCGCATGGACCGTATTTGATTTACACATGTGCAGCATGTAGACAGCCTTGCAGGAGCGTGGGCATCACATCTGTCCCGAGGCACATGGGCATGCCCAAAGGGCGACACAGAAGAGTCGCAGTCGCAGAGTGGGATCCAGGGCCATCGAATGTATGTGTAATATCTATGTCGCTTGGGCTGCGTGCTTCTCCTTTCACCACGCGACTGCAGCTTCTTGCGATGTTGAAGGCCAATGTACTCCTTCTGCTGCTCGACCAGTCCGCAGCCCCTTGGCAGATCAGAAGCGCCTTGACAGGGAGTTCATGATGTCTTCCGCTTGGAGTTTGGAGGGCGTTGCAAGCAGAAGTTTCTCACTATGGTGATATCCTGAATCCTATCCGTGGTGCAGACAGGGACATCATAAACAGTCTGTGTTCATTCCACACATGGCTACTATGGGTCAGCGCATGAAGCTATGCGATTGGTCGTTATGAATTCGGGCTACGGGGCTGTGCACCAGTGTAAATGCCATGTGCATGCTAGATTTTTGACATGGTGAACACCCGGTGCTTTGTTCTTTACTGTTGCTTGCTAGCATGGTGCCTATGACTTGTACCATGTTCTTCTCTTGCTCAGTGTTTGCGAGTAACTGCGAGACATGCCGTGGACCTGACCATGACGATTCACACGACCAGCTGACTACTAGAAAACAACTAGACCTTGTGATTCTTCGTTGTTTGGACATCATGATTCAGTTCTGCACCCTAAACCCTGAAGCTGAGTGTGAATCTGTATACTCAATCTTTAACACTGGAGGTCATCGAGGAAGGCGTGTTCGTCCTGCTTCTTGGCGTCCCAATCTCGGTGACATTCGCTTCAACGACCAACGGACGTTCTCAAGGCCCTAGCAGCCCTAGCAGTCCTGCGGAATTCTAAGTCGGCAGTCGTGTGAGCAGCTCAACTGTGATCGGCAATGATCTAGGAATCTTGTAGATCGCCTAGCTTTGACCTCTGTCAATCTCTTGGCTCCAGATCCTGATCTTTTTGTGTGTGTGTGAGGTGATCAATCCAGCCGCGGCGCCTTCACAAAATCTCTGGAAGGCCAGGAGGATAGTTCACGCCGGTGATGTTGACACACGTCCACCCACTGCTAAATCCTCAAAGCTTGGCCGTGAAGCCCTAAGCCCCTGAACTCCCCAGCCCCTAAACTCCCAAACACGAGCTCCCTAACCCCCTTAATTAAACCCTAAACCCTATAAACCCTAAACCCCAAACCCTAAACCTTAAACCCTAACCCTGAAACCCCAAGCCTCTGAGCCTTCACTGGGCCAACAGATCTCCTTGATCAACAGCGCAGCTGCAACTGGCGACCCCGGCTCGGACAAGGCCGGGCTTGATAGGCTGAGATGTGTGTTCTTTAACTAGGTAGGCCTTTGGGATATTTTATATTTTCCCTTATTGGGCTTAAGAGGACCCTATTTACTAATATTTTTCAGAGGCTTTCAAGGGCCAACCAGTCAAGACTCACCTCAGTAACGTTATGTATGAATCATAAGTAAGGGTTTCTATGGAGTTACTACAAAGGCTCGCCCTGCAGGCTTCTATTGAGTTCCTATATTCCTGGTGGTGTCCCCGAGTCTGCCGTGTTGGTGTTCGCATTTTTGTTGGCTTTCTGTTCCCAGTATTGTGTCATAATTAGTTGCAAGTATGACCTGCGGCCAATGCCACAAAGCATTACCGCATCAGCAGGATATGTTTGATTCGTCATGGTGCAGTATAATGCACTAGAATGCAATGCATTGATACACGACGTGCCAACGTAATGGACATGTTGTTGAAGGCATTGTGAGATCTGCTCGTCCTTCGGCCACCAGATAGCTGGAACTGACACTGAGAGTCATCGAGAAGGGAAATCGCACCACAAGCAGCACAGACAGAGAGAACAGAAATAGCGCGAGTAGATTAGTGTCAAGTGTCGCTTCGAGGATTGTTCTAGGGATCGCCGTGGTGACCATCATCGCATGGATCATCATCGACGTTTTTCATCATCGCTATAAAGGTCAAGACCACAGCCACTATCATCAACATCGTCGTCCCCTAATTGTGATCCTTTCCCCCAGCCGCATCATCACAAGCATCATCAGCTTTTGCATGCTACAAGCAGCAGAACCGCCGCAGCTGTCGCTTGGAGTCGGGAGGTTACGACCTTGCTGATCCCGGGCTTCTTTGTCGGCTCAGACCTCAGATTCAGCCCCGATGTGTGATTCGTAATCTGTGGTGGGCAGAACAAAGCTCATGGAATTGCACATCATGCAATAATGACAGTTATACTTTGACAGGACTCGTAGCCCCTCTGTCACACATCTCACTCTCCTCAGCCACCTCAGCATGACACCCCGTGATGCGCCAGAAAGCAGGGTAGAAGACAGCCAATGCCAGACATAGAAACCACAGAAGCCAAACCCTAAGCCCTAAAACCTAAACCCTAAACTCCAAATCCCTGACCCTAAATCCTAAACCCTCTAAGCCCCCAAAAGAATGCATATGAAAGGTGATAAGTGGCCGAGACTCCTTTGCTGCGCAGAAACCTTGTGCGATCCGACTTAAGGTCTCCAGGAGTCTAACGCAAAACGTGCAGATGTTTGTTTTGTTACCAATGGTAATCATGTTTTTAATATTTTTCATTGCTGCTGTTACTACTGTGGTTGTGATAAGATTAATGGTGCTTCTGTGTTATTACGTTAATATACCAGCGCTCGGGCACTTGCGAGCTGACTTGACGTGGCCTTTGACTAAGGTTTCCGCCAATCTCTCCAACTGCCAGCCGTGCCATTGACGGATGAGGTGTTTCAGGCCGGGATGTTGTATCAGCAGCATGCGGTATGCGTGCCCTCCAGGGAGAAACCGGACATCTGAAGCCAGTACACCCAACCCGAAGTACCTGAAGCAGTCCTACAAACCACACAGCTCCACTCGGACACAGCGGGTCAGCTTCGCCGTCTGAAGCAAGCACATACTCTCCGGGTTGCAACATCTCCACTGTCTGTCGCGAGGTGAAGCCTTCCGACGATTTGGAGTTGGATGATGAGACTAGGAGTTGCATGCAACAAATGCACGATTCAAGGAGCAGAGAGATGGCAAACGCCGCGGCTATTTTGTCTCTGCTACTTCAACCCAAAAGAAGCTACTCAAACGACATTGCAACCCGTGCATACCCGAACGCCGAACCCAGGAGCGAGAGTTCGAGAGAGTGTGAGCTTGCGCAGGCACTGACAAGCGGATTTCGGCAACCTCCGTGTATTCTGGCTGTGAGAAGCTTAGACATGCCACTGGCAGTTGGCCGCATCGGGGCAGCATGTTGAAGTTGAAGGTGTTGATCGCAGTCAGGGTTATCATGCACTTATTTTGTTTCGTCAGCACTACCTCGTGCGCGAGGCAGCCGCTGCTGTGGCATTGGCATGCTGCCGTGGAAGGATGCCTTAGCAAAAAATGAGCAGACCTGTGGATTGTTTTACACTCCCTGTTGCCTCAGGAGGTGCATGCTGTGTTATGAGCTTGCTACGAGGAGTTGTTCTGAATCCTAAACAGCACCTGTGGTTTCAGCAGCCCGACATGACGGTGGACTGCGAGTGATTGTTGGGCTTGAGGTTTGTCCGACACAGAGCTAGACTCCTGCAACTTGTTTTTGACTCAAGCAACCACCTTTGCGACTTCTTCTCAAGCCAAAGGTGGGAAGACAAAGCAACCCCAGCCACGATGCGAGGATCACGATGTTTTGTGTTCCATGCTTTGTCAGTTGGAAGAGTTCGATGTAAGTCCAAAAGTTCCAGGTCCCATTCCAGGTTTGGGTCATGCCGGCGAGTGAGAAGCCAATCCGACAGCATGCGCAACTTCTGAACGGTTCACCGCCAATGCAGCTGCCATTTTCTCGGGTTCTCCATGGAGCCGGCGGTGGCCGTCGCCTTGAAGGAGAACTTTCTACATCCCTTCATGCTTTCCGCCCTACATAGTTCCAGTGACTGCCCAGAGTTCCTTTCTGTTGTTGCAACGAAAGGACTCTTCGGAGTTAGTCAAGCTGAAGGCAGGGGCTGTGTTTGGCAGGGTTTGTGATTGTAGTCTTGCTCAGCTAAAGTCTAGGACCAAGTTTCTAAGGCAATCCAACGTTGAATGCACCAATGCCTGCAAGCGAAGCTTTAAACCATACTCCCGACATTTGACCCAAGAGCTCTGCTTCCAGATCATCCGGGCTGCGAGTGGACGTTTCTCTCTGTGTGCGTGCGTACGGTATGTGTGTATATATATATACACACATATCTATTTATTTGTTTTTTACAGTTATATACACATATGAACAGATAGTCAATATGTACATATACATATATGTATACATCGGTATATATATATATATGTATATATATATACAGAAAGCGTCACACTGCAGGCCCGAGTTTTGTCCACATTGAGTTTTGTTCGCACTGATATATATATATATGTATATGTATATGTATGTATATATGTATGTGTATATATATATATATATAATAGAGAGAGAGAGAGAGAGAGAGAGAGCTCCACAGAGACCCTCCATCTGTCAAAATGATGCATGGGATAGCGCCCTGGAGCGCGGGGTAGGAGGATTGCTGCTACCTCAAACCCCCGAGCAAAGCAAAGCAAAGACTTCCACAATATGCGTGCGGCTCGATGCCCTCGGCTTAGCTTGCACTTTGCGCCTTCACGCTCCTTTACAGCATCGATGGGCCTTTGGCCCAGGGACTTTGGACCCCTCTCTGTCGCAGAAAGCCTGGTGCTCTCATGAAGGTCATTGCATGTCGAAGCTCTGCAAGCAGCGCCGCCAGCCTTTCTGTGTATCGCCCGCGGCGCATACATTGCGAGAACTCAGGACGCACATGTGCACGGAGGATGACGCTGAGCGCACATCCATCATCGACTACTGACTACTGTATTAGCTGTAAGTCCAAGCCAGTCAGAGTGATGAGGTCCTCGATGGTTGAACCCAACGCATGTCTCCACACCGAAGATTATCTCCAAGGAAAGAACAAGCGAGTCCGAGATTGTCAATATGCACAGTTGAACATGTAACTTTTTCCACAAGCGGGGGGAAGCTTGGTTGCTTTCACACCTCCCCACGACGCCGGTGGGCTTGAAGCCCCAGAGGCCTGACCAGCCTCCAAAGCCTGTTAGAGAGGGGGAAGAGGGAGAGAGAGGATAAGGGACCGAGAGACACGGTAGTTGGGCCTAAAACACCCAAAGATTGAACGCAACCTTGGGAGGGAGTAGAGGTCATTGTAGAGCCTTGGATATGGTGGCCAGAAGGCACCGTGCTTGGGCTGTATATACAAACTTTGATGCGCAAACTGTAAGCCAAGCTTCAGCCTTCAAGCTGTCTTCTCGTCTGCACTTCTGCGTGCAATGGTGCCACTCTTTTTTGCCCCTGAGATGAGGCAGAGCGGGATCGACTAGAAGAAGTGTTCAGCCCGCAGCCCAGTCAGCGTTTTATCGTTGGCCTTGGAGTGATGCTACAAGCAGTCTAGCAGCAGCGGAGGAGTGGACATTGCAGGGTATCAGGAACAGCAGTGGTAGTGGCAGCAGTCGTCGTCGTTTCTATAGTAGCTGTAGTGGTAGCAGCAGCAGCAGCAGCAGTAGTCAAGGTAGCTCTATAAGTAGTAACAGTCGTCGTCGTAGTAGTAGTCGTCGTCGTCGTAAGTCTTGGGCGTGGTGGATCGAAGTGGTAGTAGAAAAAGAAGTAGGAGTTGCAGTAGGAGTAGTAGGAGCAGGAGTATGAGAAATAGGCTTTTGCTCCTTCTCATTTCCACCCTGACCTCCTTATTGTCCTTTGCGTAGTCATCATCTTGACTATCGTCGTCATCAGCAGCACTGCTAGCCACAGTATCACCATCACCAGCATCACAGTCATGTCACTAGCCTAGCTCATCACCATCATGTTTTATTTTTTGTCATCGTCCATTCCTTGCCGCAGCTGCAGGTTATTTTTGTAGACCGAGGATGGACAGGAGTCGGAGAAGAGACATCCGGAACGTGTTCCTTTTGGAGACTGCCTTCTCGAGAGTAGTTCTAGTAGTTGATCTTTTTACTGCTGATTCGGGCATTAATTATAGGGGGTCCACAGAACCCTCAATCACCCCGCGCCTCTCTGTCTTGATCCACACCTCGGCAAGCACGATGCAGGCACGCAGCAAGAGGCTGCAAAAGCTGCTGAGGCGGCTCTGGCAACGGCAACGGAGGCCCAATCCCGAGTGCAGGGCATGCATGGGGGTTTTGATACTGAGCTTTCAGCACAACTTCCCCAGTCAGTCTGGAAAGATGCCCGACAAAGAAAGGCCATGCTCCGGCATATGATACGGATGTATGCAAATGCGATATATGGAAGCATGAGATCATCACTGTTGGCAAAGCTGAGTCTGTCCCGAAAAAGTACAGTCTTCTTGGCTCTGGTCCAAAATCTAAAGGTGACATATTCTGTCATGAGGTGCCATGCCACATCTTTGGTGACTCCCACTTCACATGCTATCCAGTATCATTCCAGTCGCTTCTCCTGGTGTCGTAGGGTGTATGCAGACTCGGGCATTGCACGCTGCGCGAACTTTTTCACGGCTTAAATCGTGCTACACCATCTACCATAGATGAGCTCATACTAGACTCCTAGACTGTTGTCACATCGTGCTGTTTTGTACCAGACTTCGGAGGCAGGGGCTCAAGGGTCCCCAGGGTTCATGCTTCGCGATGTGTGAGGGGGGGGGGGGGTCCGAGGTGGCCGGTGGGTGTGGTGTACCGGTTCACTTGGCCAGAGCCATGTGTCTTGCATTTCAGGCCGCTCTTTCGCAAGGCTTCATGCGCCCTCAGGTCCAGAGGCAAACTCTAATCGAACCTGCTCTCGTGTGCCTGGGCTTGGCTAAGAGTGAGGACTTCTTCCGGGCCCAAACACACAAGGCAGATTCGATTAGAGTTTGCTTCTGGACCGGAAACCTCATGAAGCCTTGTACAAGCGCGGCTTGCAGTTACTGCGGCCGAGTGTGGCCTTCTCGGTCTAATATTACGCGGCCCGCGCTTGAAAGGCGCTGTCCGGAGAAGCAGACTATATTAGCTATAATGGCTATAATACTATTGTTGTAACTATATAGAATACTACAATAACTATAACATTGGGGCCGGGCACCACATGGTGCTGGTGAGAAGCTGCAACGGTGGTCCAGGTCTTGCAAACCACGGAATCGTTTCTGCCACCATAGACTGTAATAATGTAGGAACCTGATTAAGAAACCCTGGCCCTACAACCCCAAAATATTAGGCTTCATATTAAGAATCCTAAGAGAAACCCAGGGTTTCTTAATCAGGTTCCTATGAACCCTAGTATTTTGGGGTTATAGGGCCAGGGTTTCGTCTTCATCAGGTTCCCATAGTGTAATAGCCCAGATCGCCTCCCAGTCTGCAAACTTCGTCCGGACAGGAGCAGACACGCTGGCGCCAGCGCGTCTCAGAGTTGCAGAAGCTCCGTTCAGAGCAGGCCTGGTGATGATGAGTAGTTATTATAACTGTTGTAGTATTGTACTTATTATAGTTATTGTAGTAGTATTCAAATTATATATAGCTACTAGAATAGTATTATAGTTGCTATAGTTTTAATGGTATTCTAGTTATTATAGTAGTATTATAGTAGTATTATATTATAGTTATTATAGCTGATGATTGCAACACATTGCAAAAACAATCAGGCAGCAACATAATACTCCTACTGACAAGATTCATAAGTCATAATGATTAGCATGACAGTACGTGGATTCAAGATTCAGGCTACGCGAGCTTGAAGGCTGATGCGTGTAGCTCGAATGGCTGATCAAGGTCTTCGGGGCTCCATGGTCCCACAGGTGGTAGTACCAAGTATCAAGTATTTCGTTTACAGTACTGGAAGTTGAGTTTGCGCCTGCATTTCAATGGACATTCACGCTCAAGGATTTCTTTGATGATAAGTTGTCTTTCCCAACTGAATTATTATTCGGTACCGTTAAAACCTCGAACACGATCTCGTCAACCTAAACTCCAAACCGCTTTCTGCATCCTTGGGAGCCACAGCTGTCCCACAGAGTCTCAGGGATGCTGAGTCTATTGGCAGAGCATATAAAGCCCAAAGTCTGTAGCAATGGAGCACCTGCGGTATGCGGTAGATTGAGAGAAGTGTAGGAAGCACAGGTTTGTTGATCCAGTCTGGGAAATGCTGCACTCCCAGCGCTACGATTCCAGCTTGTAAGGCTCAAGGACTCTTGGAGGCACTCGTGTCAAAGGTCCTGCAGCATGGAGTTGGCATTTTTGGCACCAACTGGCAATGCCGTGCAGACCCAGGCCGTCTCCGCGCCAATGCAGGCCAAGCTGCCCGGGCAGCAGTCGGCCGCTGGCTTCGGAGTGAAGATGGCCGCCGTTGCCTCTTGCACGGCTGCGGCAGTTGGCTTGGCCTCCAGCCGCAAGCGCTCCAAGACCGCGGCACGCTACACCACGCAGACGATCTTGCCCTCCCTCGCCTGGATCAAATCCGGCGTGAAGGCTTCCGAGCTGCAGCCCAAGCAGCTGAAAGCCCTGACGCTTGCCGGAAACGATGTGCTGATCGGCAAGACAGAGGCTGGGGCGCTCTTCTGCGTTGGCAACTTGTGCCCCCACATCGGCACGCCCATGAGCGAGGGTGCCGACGTGATCGGTGACGTCATCGTTTGCCCCTTGCATGGCTCCTCTTTCAAGGTGACCACGGGTGAGCTCCTTGATTGGTGCGTTTCTCCGCCTATCATCGGCCCCTTGACCGGACTGATCGTGGAGAAGAAGAACCTTTTGGTCTTCGAGGTGCGTCAGGGTGGCTTGCTGGGAACCGGCGATGTCGAGGTGCTCGTGGACACGAACGCCAAGAAGGCCTACGAGGCATGGTACTGGAAGGGCTTGCTCGATGCCCAGGGTAACTGGGCTCTGGAGCCCTATACTTTGTTGCCTTTCTGGGGACTTGTTCCTTAAATTAATAAGAACCTCTATGTTTCTGCAGATTGTGCTTGTTTCTCCCAGATGACTTCATAGCCCAGGCAAGGATGACGGCACCTACTATTGAGAATTGCAATTTGCGCCATTGCATTTCTTCATTTGTAAATGAGTCCGTGGCAGCAGCATGCTGCAGCTGCCTTTTTTCCCTTAATTTAAAGAGATGCAGATTTCGCTCAATCTAGTATCACTGTAGGTGACAGAAGCGTGTGTGTCCACCCAAAAGCCTTGGGAGTGTCGATCACACGTTGACAGACTCAAGAGGTTTGAAGTTGCGAGCGCAAAAACGACACGCTGAGACACCCAAAGCACCCAAAGCATTCAGCCTGAACTCTGAATGACCTTTCTCGAGCATAGCGGGTTTCACTGCAGGCTGCCGCAATCGCGGCTGACAGTGAGCGACGGCGCGTTGAGGTTCCGCTGCTGGCACTGCTCGAGGATTGCAATGTCATACAGGTTCTGTCTCGGGAGTGCTGAACGATGCCGCATGCAATATCCAAGACAACTCTCAAAAAAAGCCGGAGCACAACTTGGCTTTCAAGAGCCCATGGCCTTCTGCTGCCTTTGTTGAGTTCCGGTATTCGTCAGTTATTTAAAGTTGCTTCATGTTTTCTGTGCACCTCAGCGTTCAGATTCATACCATGGTTTGGCCCAGCCGACGGCCAATGCATAAATGTGAGGAGACAGGGTTGGTCCAAAGGCTCCCTTCAACAGCAGCATGTTGCAGGGTGTTGTTCATAAACATTGACACCTTTCTTTTGCAATGCTACCCAATGCTGCTGCACTCCACCCGTCGTTTGTTCCACCTATCCGGTCGAAGCTACTCATGGACATGAGTCGCAGACTTGCCAGGTTCAAAAATGCTTTCGGAAGGGGGGAGGGGATAAATCCCAACCTTCACACCGCTACCACAAGTATCACCCTTGCGTCCCAAACCCTCTAGGCCCCAGATTGAGTCACCAGAATTCACCAGTCCCGTCAGGCATCGGAGTCCGTGCAGCAACAGCATCAGCTCGAAAATCTTGCAGCTCAGGCAAGGCGGGCAGGGTTGCCTGTCGCTCTCTCTCTCTCTCTCNNTAGCTCATGAATCTTTGGTCGTTGCAGGAAGCTCCCCACCACCCCAACGGAGCTTAAGTAAGGTCTGAATCCAACGAACAGAATGTAAGTGTCTCCCTTTCTCTCTCGCTCTTTCTCTCCCTCTCTCTTTCTGTCTCTCTGTGTGCGTGTCCCACCGCAGGCTCAGTGGTATACCGTAAGTAACCTGCCCTGCTCCATACCCATCACCACCACCACTACCACCCACCACCACCACCACCACCACCACCACCTCCACCACCACCACCACCACCACCACCAGCACCAGCACCAGCACCACCACCACCACCACCACCACCACCACCGGCAACAGCATCACCATCACCGACACCATGACCATCCTCATCGTCCTCGTCCGATACTCGCCCATCTTTGCTGGCTGCAACATCGTCACAAACATGACCTTCTCCATAATTTGATGAATAGCATCGCAATCATCAGCGTCCTGGTTTTCAACAAAATTCATCTGCTTTCAATTGCCCGATTCGAGCTCCGTCCTGCATGTGTCAGGTCCAGTCGCTTCGCGATGCCTTGTCGCAGGAAGAGCGGAACGCCAAGACATCTGTCGCAGAGGCCTCGAGAGGCTTGTCTACTGTATTTGTACCGAAACTCACATCGTTGAGGTTTCGCAACACATGTAGTTTCTACACAAGGGGGTTGTTTTATTTTTCCGCTGGCAGCTTGACAGCATCGGCTCTTTGGCGGCGGCATGCCACTTGCCAGCTAAGCGCGCAGGTCCCTTGTCGGAGCGACCCACCAGATCCGAAGTATGGCAGCCTACGTGTTCCCCCTATATTGCAGCGATGTGTGGAGCTGTCTTAATGCATCGGCGTGCTCATAAACAGGACCCTACTACTTAGGGTCTACAGTAGTAGGGATCCTTATGTTTCTGTTACACACACGTGGTGCAGGCTTCTCAGTCAGTCTGAGTTTGGCGATTTCGGCAGGCGGTGGCCGCTGTAGAGGAAAGCTTCTCCAAGTGGTGGGGACAGAAGGCCGCCGGCGCTTGGTGGAACCTAAGGACCCAATAGGTGATCAGATGGTCAGTATGTAAATGTTGTTGTTCATACTCGGTGAGTGAGTAAGTGAGTGAGTGAGTGCGTGGGCGGGTGGGTGTGTGGGTGGGTGGGTGAGCGAGTGAGTGGGTGAGAGAGTCATTGAGTGAGTAACGGAGTGACTGAGTTCGTTAGTGAGTTAATGTTAGTTGCTTAGGGTTCGTGAGGCCTGTGGGTTAGTCTTATGTTACACATTGATATGCTTGTTTATGTTTCAATATGTGCATGTACGTGTGCACATAAGTGTGTATGTATGTATGTATATATGTATATGTATACACACA